CATTCAAATTATTTCTTCGTTTTTGTCGAGAAATACTTCCTATTCATGGTCATAGTATTCATCATCTAACTGTAGAAGGTACTCATCAGTTAAACATCTTCCACAAGGAGCCTATATTATTAAAACAAATGGATTGTTTGCAACATTTAACATGAATTGGACGAGAATACTCGACTAAACTTCTTGATGTTTACTTAGAACATTTTCCATCGTTAGATATTCTTGATATAAAATTGAATAACGGTGGACAGAACTTGAAAATATTCTTTCAAATAATATGTCCTTATTAACACAACTGAATCTACTAGAGGGTAACAGCTATTAGTTTCGAGATGTTCGTATTTCAAGACAATCTGATATACAGCTACCACGATTAAAAATATTAACAATTCAGAATTTAAATACGACAAAGGATTTGTATTATTTATTTAAAATGATGTTCAATCTGGAAGAGTTGAATTTATATATAGATCGTATTGAACCACAGTCATTATTAAGCAGTGTACTTCCAAAATTTTTAACAACAGTGAGATTAGAACTCATCTGTACGTTAGATAATCAACAGAAAATGGAATTTTTACGAAATGTTTTATTCTTATTCCAAAAGCAACTGAAATCACTCAAATTATTTATTTATTCTACGGACAAGATATTCGTCGATGAATTACAAAATATTGTAAGAGCAAACTTTCCAAATATCGTATCTGTTGATTATAATGTAGAAATATTAAATCGACCGGCACAGTCTCCAACATCAGTTTCAGATATGTTAGCAGAGATCTGCAGAGCCTTGGCTCCTAAGATAACATTGCTATCCTTAAAAATTCGAGCGAGTATTCTTCTGGATGTTGATGATAGAGATAGTCCACTAGAGTCTTTGCTTACAACTGATGGCTTATTACTTCCAAGACTACGTGTATGAATTCAGAATCACAAATAAGATTGTATTCCAAATTACTATCAATCTCACCTAATGTAACACGATTAAATGTGAATCATTCAAATTCGATGGCAACAATCGATTTGTTAAGGAAATTACCAAAACCAACGAAACTGACGATCAGAAACTTAAAATGCAGCAATCGTTACAAAGAATGTATAAACAAATTTCATGAAACATTCATTATTGAATTATCACAAATTTTACCAAATCTAACGCACTTGATTCTCTTTACCTCTATGGCTTCTAATAATGAACGTCAAACAATGTTAACACCGAAATCAGCTATTACATATTCAAAAAAATATTTTAAAAGTCTAATTCATTTACGTATGGAACTGAAGGTTTCCTACTGTCTTGAAAATAATGGTGGTGCCCTTAGAGCCCAAGGTATCGATCAAGACTTGACTGTATACTTAAAAGACGATCAACATAAAAATTTATTGTATGAAACTATGTTTGAAGGGTGTGGGTATAACAGCAAATCAAGAGAACATTTACATCTAGACACTCTGGCCTTTTCCTGAGATTTTTTATTTTTCATATTCAACTATGCCGATAAAAGTATTCCATCTTGTCTAATGATCAGAACGATACACTCTACACATTAAAAAGGAATCAGAAGGAGCATCAAACAGCATGCTTCTTCTGAAGCACTGTTGTTCTGTACATGTCATTGTACTTTTTGTTATCCTACAATGAGAGTATACCAGTTTCAGTAGGAAACAAGTCGTTGAACGATAAGTTCAACTTCTAAACGTTCCATAGATATCAAGGTAGTATCGGAAGACAGAAGTTAAGGTGTTTACAGCAATCTGATAAAATAAACGTTGTTTTGATGACACTAGAAAAAGCTGCTAGCGCAATCTTTACAGAGAAAATGCAAGACATGAAGTAGCTGCTATTGATAATCACTGGAGAATTATTTTATTAGATTGATATTAAGATAGATTAATCCTACATTGTTTACTTCATTTCCAAGAATTGCAGTAAGCAAGCAGTTCATATATTCTCGTGCGATACTAGTGATATACAGTTTTTGATCGTATATTGGCAAAGTCGTCAGTGTTGTCAAATCTTGTGACGTTTACAGAAAAAAAACTCCGAATTTTAGAAGATTTTCTGTAATCTTTCTAATTCCTAATTGTCTTCTGGGTTTTAAATATTTTCTATTTCACTTGTCTTCGGACATATTTTACAATATTTTATGATTCGAAAGAGATTAAAGCTTTTATTCTCGTAGTCTATTCAGAATAAAAATTATTTTCCTTTCTTCTTCCATTTACTTTCTATATCTGTTGTCAACCAATCATGAAATATTTATAAGAAGATTAATAAAATCGTGTGTCAACAAAATTAATTCCAGTTGAATTACATATTTGTTCGAACTTATCTATATCTCGTATAGAAGCTTATGATTGTCGTTTATGTAAATCAAAACTTTTATAATCTACTTAATCTAATGAAAAGTACTGTTATTTTCTTTTGTTTCTTTGAAAGTTTTTTCTGTATAAATAACTGTGATGATCTGTAAGTATGACTCCTTCGAGAAATGCCATATAGATATATCATTATTCATGACTATGTACCCCATGAGTAGGTGTTTACAAGAGTAATTTTGTGAAAACAGCAATATAAACTGTAAAATAAAATTTTAATGCTATTTTGAAAATTTTACTTGAAAATCGCAATAGTAGACCTGTCTTGTCTTAACAGAAGACCGGAAGCCCTTTAATGAGGCTGTTCTAGTATTTGAATCTTTTTATCATTTTGAGACGACCTACTGTTTATTATATCTTGATAATCATAGCAATAGCAAAAAGTAAGTAAAACACAATTTTATTTTTTTGTAAATGAAAAATTTTATTGTTCTTTCAATGTTATTGTTGTCAATCACCAGATAATACATTTGTTTACTTGACTATTATTTTGTCCAGGTGTACATTTAAATACTCGATCGAATTCATGAAAGTTCGACGTTGGGCCACGTACTCTGGATAATTATTACAGAAGAGCATTTTTATTTTAGACAAAATAAAAAAAACTAATAATAAGAATATGTAGAAAGCGATCTAGACAGACATTCATATGCTACACTAGAATAACATCATACGACATTCATTTTTAACAGATTGTTTTTCTTTATTAGCTGAGGCAATTTTTTATCAGAAAAATTCTAGTGAAAATGTTCAGCAGACAGGTTCAATTGATAAAGAAAACTTTTTCTGAATAAAATAATAGGTCTACAATCCATCTTCGGTGAACGACAATGACTATGTGATAGACATAATAGGTTAATTTATATGAATTTATTATATTTCATACAGTGTGTTCTATCTTAGAATGAATATAGTTTCTTGAAGATAGATTATGAAGAGCTCGGAAATACGTTTCTTTGTTCAAAAAACTTGTTTGATCGCATTCAGAAAACTGATTTCGAGTCTTGGTTTTCAAGAGACTTTCTATTGAAACCTGCTAGTCAGACTTAACAAGTGTCACTTTCGATACAAAATTATGTCAGCTACTCAAACATTACCTGCGATTTGTTCTAATTATTATTGTTTGGGAAAAAAATAAAAATAAATATTAACTGATGGCAGAATAAATTTCTTGTGCTTTTCTATTCTGTTGAATCCATCGGATCAGTTAATACAAAATAAACTATTGTAATTATCTATAGTAAAAAAAGAAGTGCATACCTGAATTCTCCCGGTGAATGAACACCTGTTAAAATTCTATTCAATGCATTTGCATCAGTCATTTTCGAACACCAAATTTGTCCATAATTAATAAAAAACAATTGTTCTGCTGAATAATCAGATAGACCAGGTAATTGTTTATCCATATTTGAATGCGTTTGAACCCAGTTTTGATAAGCCTATAAGCATATATATATGCACATGCTACAAGATTTATAAGGATACATAAAGTAACAAACAAGGCGAACACATAACATGCAAACAAAAGTTATTTAATAAAAACAAAATTTTTTTTTCTACCGAAAATTATCGATTATATAACCATGTGAGTGTTTTTCAATCAGTCGTGTAATACAACCTAGATAATCATTATATTGCTACTAACAACAAAATCTTCGTTAATGATAATATTTTATATACTTATAGAGAAATAATATTTGTCTTAAGATTAGCCCAATTTTCCTGTTTTCGCTTCGTTTTTTTCTAACTAAATTCAAGATAAAACTTACATAAAATGATTCTTTTATTCCGCCATTATCAGCAATATTTTCACCTTGTGTTTGAAATCCATTTAACTAAAATTTAGTCAAAAAAAAACACCAAATATGTGGCAAAACGAATTTTTTTAAATTATTACTGTCATGTTAATTTGAGTTACAACATATCTACTATATTGATCGATTATACATTGCTTACGTTCATTAAATTTTGCAATAGTTTCAGGAGTCCACCAAGAAATACGATTTCCATCTTTATCATACTGACGACCACTATCATCAAAACCATGAGTAATTTCATGACCAATAACGGCTCCAATACCTCAAATTTCATTTGATATTTTAGAACATTTATTTATTTTATTGAAACTTACCACCATAATTTAAATATCTAAAAATAATGAGAAGTTTTTTTTTTTTTTTTTGTTGAAAGATATATATGAAAAAACTTACTTTGGTGCATCTTTATTGAAAAATGGCATTTGAAGAATACCAGCTGGAAAACCTAAAAATAGAGAAAAATATATTACAGTCACAACATATATGAATTTAGAAATAAGAGATTATAGAAGACCATTGAATTTGATAATGATATTTTAAATTTTCACAAAAATTTTGTGCAATAAAACTTGATTACACCATGATCAAGGAAGGATATTTAATATTAAAAAATGTCAAATCGAAGTTTTCCGCCAGAAAATGGTAGAAATCGGATGACAAGCTTTGTTCGGAACTAGAAAAATCCGACGAATTGGATTCAACTACGAGATTCCGATTTTCTACCATTTTTCGGTCGAAAATGTTGTTTTTCTGACCGTCAAAATCATTCACCAGATTATGTATAAGAGTCGCACACACTAATAAAAAGACTTTGTGAAAACCAATAATGTCAGTTACTATAACAAAAGCCTTCTAAAATACACTATTTATATATAAATTGTCCCGAAAAGTGACACAAAAATTCTTTGAAAATATGAATAATCTTAAATTTCTAGGACTAATACGTTAAATACATAATATATAAAATTAAAGAAATGTTTTATCTGACTATCTCATTTCGGTTTACATGTTTTGGTTGTAATTTTTATTAAGACAGTATTCTATTTTCATTTGAAAAACTATACAAATTAGATAGAAGATTCATGCATGATAGATAAAAACAGATTCATAGCTTGTAATTAGTCAATCAGATCTAGGAAAAATCGACCTGTTTGAACCTCTATTGTGAATCTTCAAATTAGAACAACTGTATAGAATAAAAATTATATTAACTGATTTGGTTTCTTGGTGGACTATAAAAAGCGTTGACTACAGTTGGTGGACTAGAACCCCATGCTCTACGATCAACAGGCTCACGAAGCATTCGAAGATTTTCATTGGATTTTATTTGTAATAATTTTAAAACATTATATATATATGAATCATTGAAAACATACTACAAAAACAAAGACAATGAAGAATAAATAATACCTGATTGAAACTATAATTATTCCTTACATCTTGATACATTTTTTCGAGTTCTGTTGTATTACTACTGCCTAAAAAATCTGGATAACCAATTTTTTCATCAATTACCAATGCCTTTAAATTATAATTAAAGTTATGAAAAAATTTATTTTTCAATCTACTTTTTCTATTGATTTATTTTTTGAAGCTTCATCCATCCAACTCGAAGTTTTGAGCATATCAAGAAATGCAGTTCGAATATTATTAATCATTTCTAATGACTACAATAAAAAAGAAATCAATTGAATTAATTCTGTATTATCGAAATGATTTGTGTTAGTTTCAAAAACGATTCGATTTTATATCAATTTTTTCTATTGAATAGTCATGAATATCATTTCTCCTTAGGAAAACGGTCAGAATCATAGAGTAGCAAAAGTCTAAAAGAATTCTTTCCCATAAACCTTCGGCATCAAGTTATAATTGTTTGACGAGATTTTTGATTGATTATACGGTACTTCTTCATAAGTTAAAAAAGAAACGGAGTTGCAAGTCAAAATGTAAACGTAAGGATAAACCTAATGATTCTTAAAATATCATGAAAGTTTCATCAGAAAAGATTATTCTATTGCCATGTTATTAAATTTCTAAGTGAAGCCAACTCTTGTTATATATTTTGACAATAGTTTGTGTTTGAGAATTCAAAATTTCCTAAAAACTAACTACAAATGAGTCGAAAATCTTGCAAATCGATTATAACTCAGTGCCTAAAGCTCATAGGAATAAACACTCTTAGACTTTTGCTAGTCTCATCAAGACTTTCTTTTAAATCTAACATAAACTCATATAGCAGATATTAGTTGAAGAAATTGCATCGTTAGCCTACATTGAGTGACTATGTTTTTCGGCACTTATTCATAAGATACTATGTATAAATCTTAGCATCACCAGCCATGGAATGAAACTGTAAAACTTAGGAATAACCATTAGCCTCGAATCAACCCTTCGATAGCATGCAGACTAAGTTATGACGTCTGTATTACCATGATCGTTGAGAATGGAAACAAAGAAATCGTTGATTCTACTAATGTGCTTTTTTCCTTCGTAAAATATTATAAAAAAATAAATATTAAATCATCAATTAGTTTGTTCACAAATAAAACAAAACTCATCCAACTCAACCTATTGCTATATTTTGAATTTTATACATCTCATATAGCCGATATAAAAAGCAATTATTTTAGAATCGATTTTTTTCCATAAAGAATTATATAAAATACCTGATTTCTTGCATTTTCATCAAAATATTGTTTAATATAAACTTTTGAAAGAGCAAAACCCATATTAGTATTAATATAATTTCCACATATTATTGAACGTGGACGTTGAGCAACAGTACCTCGAAAAGCTTCATCAAATGGATCTCTTAGAGCACGATAACGTTTAGGCATATTTGATACTCTGTTCATTATAAAACGCCATACAATATAATTTTGTAGTAGACGGGGTGAAGTTGAATCAATCATCAATGATGCATTACGTAAAAACTCAATTTCACTAACTGATACAACATCATTATCATTTAGAGAAATATTTGATAAAAAATATATATGTCGAAGATAATTCGTAAATCCAAACTAAAATCAAGAATAAAAATAAAAAAAATATTCTTTGAAATAAATAAAAATGAATACTTGCACTTGTATTAAATATTTGTGAAAGATTTCCAATGGTTGTACGAACTGTTTCATTTTCTCTAGCACGTTGTTCGGAAAGCGTCCAATGAAACTAAAGATTTTTACTTATTTAATTTATAAAGAAAGAAAAAAAACAACTTTACTTACTGTTGAAATTTGTTTTTCAAAATTATAAATCTCGTCAACTTCAGTACTATTAATTTCTATATTATTTCTTAACGCTACAGCTACATCATGTATAAACTGTCGGTAAGCCTTGGTAACTTTTGTTTCATTAAGATAATTTGCTCGTTGTGCAAGAGCAATATCACTTTGGTAAACCTATGTAAACGAAAAAAACAAATCTACACATTGAATTATTATTATTATTTTAATTATTCACTCGAATAAAGTTAACTGAAGAATTTTTATCATCGGCTAATGTACTAAAACCAAATATCATATTGTGACTATATTCACGTAATTTAATTAATAAACGTGAAAGATTATATGATGCTTCATTCCATGATAAACCTTGTAAAATCGGCCATCCACCAAGTTCATTATTGACAAAAGACAGTGTTACATTGACAGACTCTAATTCTATAGCTGTTTCATTTATACATGTATCATAAAAACGACGAGCATTAATTATAGATTGAAGATTTTTTAAGTCATCGGGAATCGGTGATGTTAACATATCTAAACAGACATATTGAAAGATGTAATTTAACAATAGAATTGATCTAATTGGTTAGTGTAATAATTTTAAAAACGTATATTAATCAGAGAAACGATTCGAGTATTTAAAATATTTTTCTATCAGAACAAAATGTTTTTCAGAGAGCACTAAAAGCGTACTACTTCTTGAGAGACTCCTATGTTTGTCATTCGATAATACAAAGAACATCTTTCTGTAATTTTTCATAAATTTTTTTTTTTTTGTTAATAGGTAAGTTTTAATACTCCGATTATAGTTTCTTGTATTAATCAAGTATATTATTAATAGTATCGATTTCTGCTATAAAGTCATATAATCGAATTCAATTGATGTTGTATGTCGACAGAGATGTTTTTATATGTTATACGAAATAAGATAATTGTTTATGTCAATCTACTTTTAATATATACATAGTGAGATGATAATGATTGTTCTATTTTCGTCTCTCAACCTATATAAAAAAAAATCGAAAACAAATCTGATTTTCATCGATATTTTTGAGATTAAAAAAAATCAATTATAATGGCACTATTTTAATGAGATTATTAATCAAATTACATGATTTTTATCTAAGCTATTGTTTCTTTTCGATCATTGAATAAATATCACATCATATCAAATTCTGAAACAACGTCATACGTTAATCCAGCATCATACTTACGATTTGACGATAGGAGGAAAATCCAAAGAAGCGATTAAAAACTAAAAAATCACACTTTACAGTTACTATGACGAAAACTGATTATTTAGAAATTTATTTGATTTTAATTATCACTTTGATTAGAATTATGATTAAAATAGTACCACTATATAATCGGTTTTTGATCATAGTAAAAAAAATCAATGGAAATCAGATTGTCTGATTTGTTTTTAAATGTAAACATGTCTACCAAAAATGCAAAAAAGATCAGTGATAATCCTATTATGGTTTCATCCAATGTTATCGAACTACATTTTTGAAAATGTTAGTTAAAAAATACGATACATTTTATAACTTCTTATTATTATTCACAAGTTGCATTAGTCTATTTCATATTGAACAAAGATTAATGAAAACTAAAATTCAATTACAATCATCTTTATGCTATTATCATTGATATAAATTTCATTCAGTAACATAACTCAGAGGGATACAACGAGGGGTGATCCGAGAACGAGAGTTGGACAAAAAATTCTCAAGAACAGATAACTTGCTACATCCTTGATTTCATCATAAAAATAATCGAATGCTTAAAATTATTCTATTATACATATTTACCAACAATATCATTATCTAATTGATTTCGCAGACTGTTAATAGTATCTTGAGATTCAGCTAAAATAAACAAAATTCATATCTACATATTGAATAATATGAAAATATAATTATCAATGTACCATCATCAGGTATTCGATTCTTCTTTAACCATGTTCCACAAGCAAATTCAAAGAAATTATTACATGGATCAACAGTTTTATCAATACTTTCAAGTAAATAATTTGCTATTAAATTTTAGAAATAAAAAAAAATCCAACTAATTCATTGAAATAAAACTAACCTGCTTTAATACAATAAGAAGTTGCACATGTATCCGTCTGGGCTAGAAGTAATTGATAGATCATATAGATATAAACAGAGTCATATTTCATACCCGTGGTGGGGATTGTTGTCGTGTCTACGGCAGTCGAATTTTTATTTCTTTGAACTCCATATAAAGCGGCGAATACAATAGTTAATATAAGAAATATAACCAGCAAACCAACTAATACAATTGTTGTCCGGCTATATTTTATTTAAACAACAAAATGAAAGAACAATTTATTGTAAATCATATGAATAATGAATTATGTTTTTAGAAATTTTTCGATTGATGAAAATAGAACATTCACGTATTTGGATAATGATTTTCAACTGAAATTTCGCCGAATATATTAAAACCTAATAACTAATACGTTTTTCTTTTAGTTTTCAGAGTTATTTTCGTCACAAAAATATTTAATCGACATCATGATTAAGAAAATTTCTCTGGTAATTTAAGCAAAATAGAATTATGAAGAGAAAAAACAAAGGATTCAGTGATAATATTTATTTTCGATCATTTTTGTAAGAAAACATCAATTATGGACAACATAGAACATTTACAAACCTTGCTGCAACCATTATTGCTCTGACAAAATAAAAACTCAATACAAAAAGATACCTCCGATTTTATAAGTAGCTACATAAAACTATAAAAGAAGAAAAGATAATTCTTTTGTTTTATGTTTGCGTTTTTTAATGATAAAATATAATGTCTTGATCGATTAGATGTACTAAAGGCCGAAGAAAACAAAATGTTGAAAAAGAGATGTCGAAGCAGCTTTTGCCAAATGAAAAAAAGGTGAAAAATTTCAAGACGTCATTAAGCAATATTGATTTTCTTTCTTCTCATATTGCTTATTAAAACTTCATTCATTAGTTAATACTTTCCTCTAATACATTCCTGTATAAATAAAAATTTTAAAATAGTGAAAAGATAGAAAATATATTCAAACAAAGAACATCATCATGGCTTTGTCTTAATGCTTTTCTATATGTTTCACTTGATTTTGGGTATCGAAACAGATTTTTGCATTGTGTTAATATTTCATTCTTTTGATATTTTGTTTTCGGCATTTATTTTTCAACAGTTTCTTTTAATTTCGTTTTGTTGTTTGCGTCAACAACTTTTTCTTTAGTCTTTTTTTAAAACACATTATTTGATCATATAAATCAAGATATACAATGGAGCATAATCATAAAATAAAACAAGACCGACATTTATCTGTATATTTAAAGTGAATAAGTGCAATCAGAATAAAACGATATCATCGAAATAGAGATCATGAAATTATTTGTATCGAAGAACATCTTTTTCGTTCATATTTTTAGAATATACCGTATAGAGATAGTTACTATTCAAATATGAGGCATACATAATGAATTTCAATCCAATTTTGTTGTAGTTACAAACTTTCAAGCTACTGATAAACTTGTCATATCACTATAGTTATTAAGAACAATGAGTATTCATCTCGAAAAAAAGAAGAGTTGTGGGTATAAACATGAGGTTATTGTTAGTTTATTTGTAATATAAAAAAAAACAAACAGTGTTCTTCAACTTGTCGTGGGAAACTACTTCTGTCTAGACGGTTTTAGGGATCATTTCGGATCGAATAGCTAAAAGTAATAGTATTCAGAACGCTCGCTTAACTCTTAAACAGAGCATATTATCGAAGTCAATCTTTAATAATTCAAAAAGTGACAATCTTATCTATCTATAAATTATATTGAAAACCAAGGTTAACTGATATATGGATTCAGAATATCGTTTTTAAATTGTTCAGCAATAATTAATCTGATTGGTTCCGTGTTGTGTTGAATAAAATTTTTTATCAGACACATTCCTTTGAGATCTTCTCTCTTTTTTTTTTGATACATAGCTCGTTAAACAGAGTCATGAGTCTGCCCTCGAATGCACTATAGTTTAATGGTTGTATGATAAGAGTTAAGGAATGTATATAGATTTTTCTAACCCTTCATGGTGAAGTAAATAGCATTTTACATCTGAAAAACTTTGATTTTTAACGTCGCACAAGCTTTTCTATCATACGGGGCGGAGTGGTTTCAGTCTAGGGTAGGCTCAACTTTTCAGTCAAATCAAGTCTGTCCATGTGAAAAAAAGAAGAATTGAAATCAGACTTAAATCGACTATAATCATAAGATTTTTAGTGACTCTTCTTTGTGATAAATAAACAATTTCTTCACCCAATTTTTATCGGTTTGTATCAAAAAGAGTTGATTTTTTTAAAGAAGTTTCAATCAATTATAATCAGAATCAATCATATCATAAATGAACTTTGGGTCTTCTTCGATCAAACTCGTTCAAATAATGATTAAAAATAGGTAAAAATTGCAATATAATAATAAATTTTTAATCTATTTCAATATGATTTCATCCCTAATTATTTTATACACCGATGCAAACAGATTAAGAAGGGTTTTTGTTTATTTTTTCTATAATGGTAAGCGTTATAGCTTTTCTTCCTAGACTTTAATTGTTTATAAGCACGATAACTAGATATGTAATCTGGCATAGTTTCCTAGCACAATAGGAAATAAGAAACTAACTGAAGAAGGCTAATTAAAGCTTTTCTAAAAAAAAGTCACTTTGACAGAATGATTGAAATTCAGATGAGTATAAGAGAAAATAGCCGGTGATTTGATCTCTCATGCATGACAAAAATGTATAATCGGGTCTTCGCTTTTTCCAAAATTTTTTTGAAGACTTCCCCCATCTTCCATTCGAAAAATAAGCTGTTGTTGAAAAAAAACCACAAATCTTTTTTGATTTTTCTTGTTTTAAAGGTTTATAGATCGTATCTTCAAGAATTCTGAAAGGAGCTTCATTGTATCCAATATTTTTTTTGTTTGAAAGTTCGTGTTTAGGACTAGCCCTCACATAGTCCTTTTTTTAAAATATGCTTCTTTAATATCATATAAGAAAAAAACCTCTATAGAAACAATGCCATTTTTTAGGGGTTTTTGAGCCATTCAACTTGTCATCCCTTTTCTTCGCTCAAAAAGTAAGAATTTTAAAAAAAGGGCCACGAGAAAGGCTCACCCTAAACACCAGCTTTAAGCAAAAAAAATCTATGTATAGAGTAAAGGCCTACAGAGAATTCTTGCAGACACGATCGAGCTATTTTTGACCCTTATTTAGTGAATACTCTTTGAAACGTTATAACATAGGACTGAAAATTCTACCATAACCTTTCCACTCTCACACCTACATCTACACGACACCCGCACCGACCCTGTTTTAATTTGTCAACGGTATTCATGGATATGGGTTTCATCTTATGTGTTTTATATCTACATAGAAATTAAATATAACGACTATAAGACAAATTTATGTAATAAACATTTCATATTTTATTAATATTTTCCTTCCCTACAAATCATGATTAACTTTTAAAGTCATGCTGAAATCACCAAAATTATACTAAAAGACATAATGTGCGAAGGATATTGTAAATCACGAGTGTCAAATTTTATCTTTGACAAGACCAGCCCTGAAATTTATTCTATCTACTATGCAATGAAAGCTTTAGCATATCAGAAAGTTTTGTATATGCACGAATAGAATAATTGAAAAATATTCAATATTGGCTTTCCATATTGAGACATTTGATAGCAACCCTAGAGAAAGTACTGAGTTCAGGGTACCCATGTACTGAGAAAGCTCTAGCAGGGTACCCAATATGGGTACTTTGAAAATTCTCAGTAATTTTACTGATGTATGTACTGTTTGGGGTACCCGTAAAAGTACATTCACTGAATAAGTACCTGCATGGATACACAAGTCTGTAACTTTACTGAGGAAATCTCGACAGGGTATCCTAAATTTTTCGCGTTCTGTGTGACGACTATTCATTCACCGTTTTCTTTTTTACGTACGGCTCTATATAAACAACTCGATAAATCATAAGAAAATAATCAATTTTCATACTAGTTTTTTCTAAATTATTTCTTGACTATTTCTTAGTTGAGGAAATGCCGAGCTTGGTCGTAAATTAAGATCGGACTACCCTGAAGTGGTCTACGACCAACTCAAGTTGAGTCGGATCCCGACATTGTTCCTGCTAAGTTTTTGGAATTGAAAAAATTAAATTGAATAAAGTAAAAAAAAATTTAGTAAATTATCTCAAGAAAAAGAAAGAATTTTAAAAAGTCAAAGATCAGGTTCGATCCTGAACATACTGAAAATTTGGTAACAGGGTACTTAGAAATACTATACAATGGTACCCAATTCAGTACTTGATCAGTACCTTTAGGTACCCAATTACTGTGCATTTTCCAGCAGGGTACTTGCCAAAGTACCACTTAGGTACCTGTAAGTACCTGCAAGTACTTTGGTACCCAAAAGTTCCTGTGACATACTGGTATCAGGGTACTTTTTTGGGTACCCTTAACTCAGTATATTCTCTAGGGAAACAATACAAACATGTTCAATGTGGACAGCATTCGACATAAAACGTTTTCTTGATGTCATTTTGCAGTATGGAATAGACTTGCCAAGGTCCAGAAGAACATCCAACCTAGACTTCATTCAAAGTCTAAATAATTTAGTTATCATGAGTCAGCTCTGAAAATTGATGGAATGAATGTGAGTGTGATTGACGTGAAGAATAATACCCACACCCTCACACTCGTATTTCTTTTGAAATATTCACTTGTCCCTTTTTAAATGCTATTTTTGTTGATTGCAATATCGATTGATTGAGAGAGAATTCCAAATAGATGCAAAACAAAATATAATCATAAAGCCTTGATTTGAAGTTCGATTGAATGAATAAAAACAATCAACTCTATTTTTCGATACATAGAATAATTATCAGGGAGTTCAAATTTGAACTCAAGTGACAATCTAGAAAATAATGGTATTCAAATTCATAATACTTGATACACGATTATAAAATTGTTAATAAATGAAGAAAAAAACTGAAATTGTATTCTTTTTTAATGATTTTTGTGTCCTTAAGTATAAAAGTTTTGAGTAATCACGAGAAATAACATACAGTCGTTGTGCAATACCTGATTACTTCATTTCTATTTCCTGTTTTAGTTATTATTATCATTTGGTATTGACTGTGAATGATTTCGAGAAATAAAAACGCAATTGCATGTTCGTGAATCAGACTAATACAAAAATAGATTACAAATAACTTTCAAATGTCTCTTTGCATAAAAAATATGAAATTGAGAAACATCTATATCCACGTGCGATACCGATTTCATATATGTAGTAATAGATTTTAAATTTATGTACACGTACTGAATGTTGCCAACGAATATTTCATCAATTCGCTACTGATTAGCATATATTCTTTTTTTGTATTAAGTTTCAATATCTTTCAATAATTTTATTTTGGTTTCATAAAAATAAGACGAATAATAAATAATAAATTGATACAAGTTCTTCAAAAATTGACTATCTCTATCAAACTAAGAATCGCATTAAGAATTTATCATTTTCAATCTTGAGCCAAATTGTTGAAGACGAGGATGAGCAGTTTAAACTATTCACTTGGTTTTTATTTCTCAGTCTTAAATTGATATGCCTATTCTAAACACACCTA